TTTTTTTCATCATTTTTATTTTTTTTCATCGTTTTTATTTTTTCATATTGTTTTATTTTATTACTTTTTATTTTCTATTTTTAAAAAAAAAATTTTTTTCTATAATCTTTTACTTTGTGCAAGGCTTTTGTTATCAAGAGAAACATCGTTCCACACTTGTATGAAAAAATAATGCCAAATGGTTTTTTAGTTTTATAAATAAGAAAAATTGTTAATGAAATTTCCCCCTCCCCATTTTTCAGATTTGTCCACATTTTGTTTTTTAAAGTCACAACATTTAAACTATTTCTTAGATGAGGAATTATTATTATACACCGATTTATTCACACTAGTATCCTCATCTTGGTTTTTATAGTCACAAACATTTCTCCTATGCTTTTTATATTTAGCAATGAATTATTTGTATTAATAGAGTGCAATATTGGGAAATAAGGAGATTGAAAGAATTGGCATGCATGTTATGCTCATAATCTCTTCAGTAGCAGAGAAATGAACATATATGGAGCCTTTGATCTGGGAAGAACAAATTGATTGATTTATTTAGGTTCATCTCCAAAATGAACACTGAGAATTAATGGTTGAAAGTTACTTAGTGCAACAAAAGGCAGGAAGATGTGGAGTACCATGATCCCTTAATTCTCAAAAGAACTTGACACCTAAAATAAGATTGGCTGTCCTATAGAATATAAGTGTTGGTTAAGTTTTTTGCCGTTTAGATGAGTCAGGCAGTGAAATAGATATTCTATACTTCAATGGAACAGAATTAACCCTAGAACACTAAACATGGGTATATAGTACCCAGGGCAAATTTTCCTATTTTTAATTGCAATTTTCAGTACCTGATTTTCTTACCTTAATAATGTTTTTCAGTTCCTATTAATGTTAACTCAAAGTAGAAAGTTTGAAATGCCTGCATGTAAAATATTTCAAATAAAGATTTATATTTAATATTTTTTTTTGATATTTTCAAAATCAGGTGTGATATACTCATGGTTAGTAATGGTGTAACTTTAATTGATGGTTAGTGTTCTAGGGTTAAGGACAATTAAGTGATACAAGTTATCTCCCTTGGCATAGATGGTAGAGTAACAGGAAGAAAGAATCCAGGTGTTCAGTTTTAAATTTTGAGAATGTTTCTCTTTTTTTTTTTTTTTCTTTAATCAGTTCACCCAAAGCAAGGCGATAATGCCACTAAGACGCAAGGGGCTACAGTAAGTGAAAGAGAAGGAAAACAAAAACAAACAAATCATAAACAGAAAAGAAGAGACATGGCACATAGAAAAAGAATTGACAGATTTATACCTGCCTTTGCTGGCTACTCTGTCAAGTTTAATTTGCTCTGATATCTATGTGAAAATTTCCAGGTTGTTTTCTCTGTGTGTGTGTGTAAGAAGATGTTTTCCTTTGATTGAACTTCAAAGACATCTGGCATCTTTTCTAGCTAACACTAGCTGATGATGAGGTGCTGTCGAAAATTTCGAAACCTTTCTGATAAATCTGTCAAAGTTACCCAATGTTTCCCATGTCTTGTCAACCATTTCATGACTCTTTCAAAATCATTTGTTTTCTGTCATTTAAGAAACCATTTTCTACTTTAGGTTCCTCAAACTTTAAATTGTATTTACACACACAGATGCATGTATATATATCCTTGATTGCTTGACGGACAACTTTCCAAAAATCTAAATATCTGTCTTTGAAGAGACAGACACCAACAAGATATACAGTTTCCTTTCAGGAATCAGCATTCATAACAAAATTTTAAAATAATGTTTTTTTCCTTTTTATAACTTAACCCATTGCCATGATTAAGCTCTGCTAAAGTTCTTGCAAGAGCCTCTAAGACCGGAATATCAGAATATCTATCTATCTATATGTCAAAGTATGATTATCAAGCTATCTGATTGTCAAGGTGTAAATATCAACATATATATCTTTATATCGAAGTATGAATGATAAGCTATCTATCTAGTTATCAAGGACTGGATATCTATTGTTGGCATTAAATAACCCGACGAGGTTGATATGCCGTAAAACACAAACCTAAATATGCATAAACAAGATAAAATCTGAAACAAAGACAGCAATAAGAAAGAAAGAAAAAGACCTACAGGCAAATACCTACTTACTTGGTAAAGTGCTCAACACCTAGATTATCTAGACAGAGCAAAAAACAGTTTTGGCTTTTCTTTAATATTAAAAATATATCCAAACAAGTTTTGTTAAATTCAACCGACAAGGTTTAATGTTTTATTGCATTTTCCAAATTTTTGAATAAGATGTTTTATTTTGGGATTGTGGATATACTGTCCAAAGTTCAGGTTTGTTCCATTTTGTACTTTTAACTGTCTCAGTCATTATCAAGAACCATATGTGTTTTTTTTTGTTAAGCATTTAACCCCCAAGCAAGGTAGGAAGCCACTAGCACGCAAGGGGTTACAGAGTTGGAGTGAGAACAAAGAGGAGTGATAGAGGAAAGGATGAAGAGACAGTTAGGGGATAGATCAAGGCATCTGGAGACGTCGATTGACGTTACATTTGAATAGTTGGAGGATTATAGCTATCAGGAAAACAAGAAATGGGAAGGGAGTTCCACAGGCGAGAAGTGCGAGACATGAAGCTATTGGAGTAGAAGATCTTTTTTATTTTTCTCCTTTAAGCTAGAAAGCCTTAGAAATTCTACTAAATTATCCAACCATGTGTGGAAATTAAAGGAGAAAAATAAAAAAGATCTGATTGTAAACTGTAATATTTAAAAAAAAACAAACAACCTTACAACAATCATGACAACATCTGCAACCTTTGTCAACAAGAAAAATTTGCTATAATAACATTTCCAGACCTTTTGAATAAGAGATTGGAAATTATGACCTGCTGTATACATACTAAACAGTTCCTTCTGAGTTCATATGAAATGGGATGAAAAGAAAGTATTTATATTTCATTTAATCTCACATGAATACATTTCCGATAGACTTGCTTTTCCCCTCTTCCTCACCTTCTACCACACTTCATGTCGTGTACTTATTTATTTAAAAAAATATAGCATTCATAAAATTTTTCTGATTTTTTTTTTTTTTTTTTTTTTTTTTTAAATAGTGTTAGGAAATCAATTGTGCAAAATCACCTGAAGATGCCAAAAGGTTGAAACCAAAGTAGTGGAATGGGCTGATTTACTAAATTTCTATACTTAAAAGCTCTACACGTTAAATTTTTAGTTGGTCTAATTCAACTCTGACCATTAACTTTATTATTACACACACACACACACACACACACTTTAGAGGAAAGAAAAAGAAGTGTGGCAAGTTTTCATGACTTGTTTTATCCTCTGGGAGATCATTGGACTAAGTTTATGTTCCTAGAGGCCAAAATGCGTCACAGAAAAACTTTTGCCAATTTGACATACTTCTTTCCCCTAATATTGTTCTTAATACATAAAAAAATTAAATATCATTGACCCATATATATATATATATATATATATATATATATATATATATAAAATATTTGAAGATCACAATTTACTTTCCAGACAACTTTAATCTTCAAAAATCTAAATGCAATATCAATCATTATCTTCTATTTTCTTCATTTCTGTTCTTTTATTGTTCTATATCTTTAATAATGTTTTTTTATTTTCTCACATGCATCTTAATGGTTTTATTTCCTTGCAATGATTAATATTTTTTTATTAAACATGTTTCTATGTAGCGACTATGGAGAATAATTTTGTATTTCCCAAACTAATCCTTTTTTCTTTTTAGAGCCCAGGTTTGTTAAAACAAAAAAAAAAAAAAGAAAATATTGCCATGTTTCATTTAAAAACTGTAAGGAGTCCAGTAACCTAAAATCAGCCTTGAACTCATTCTTTGACTTGCAGGACAAGAATTCAACACTGCAGACACCTTGACAATCATGGATTTTTCAACCCGTATTACTTTTCTATTTACCATGTTCCTGTCTTGGGAATTTTTTGATCAAAACCTTGAGCATGTGAATGCTGCAACATGGAGTGTCTTGTTTGTGTTAAAAAAACAAAAAAAAAGAAGCATTTGTGTTTTTTTTTTTTACTTTTTACACTGGAGATTTGTTTATTACTAAACGCTTGTTACATTGCTTGGAGATACAAGTTTGAGTTATTTAGATTACGAATATCCTGATCTTTTTACCCTAACACTTCAGTGATGTTTTTCAGCCATCTCCATTTATCAATCATTTCTACTAATCCTTAAATATTAACCACATGCATAAAGATATACAATCTCTTATCAAAATTCTGAAAATTAAAAAAAGACGACTTTTTAGCCTTCCTTGATATTTTTTTCTTTTAGATAAAAAGTTAAATGAATACTCTTACAATTTGAATAAACGTTGGGTATATGATTATTAAAATTTTGGAAATTATGAGCTGCACCACCCCATTTAATTTGACTCCCTGCATATCATGAAAAGTTGTATATTAGTATATGTTTTATATATTTTATGACATTTAAATTTTGGGAAAATTGATCCCCCCCTTGTTTATTTGAGATTAAGAGTATAGTGAACACTTTATCATTTCATTTACTACTGTGCAAATAAATTGTAATATTATTTAAAATTTTTCCCAATCTGGGTGAATATTTACAAGTTTGACTGCAGACATATTGCCAGTCCATAACAATTGACTTGTCCTTCTTTAGAAAGGCAACTGCGTATCTATTTTGAAATCCTCAAAATTCTAAGTATCTTGCCTGAAGAATTTCAAATAAGAGATTGTCTATTTTATATATGAGTAGAGTCAATAAACATAGTGACCGAATCTGGTAAAAAAGCAAACAAAGATAAGGATATTGGTTCAAATAATGAACTTGAGAACTTCTATTTTTTTTTTAATCTCCTTAAGTTGAGGAAGAGAGAAAAATAAAAATACAAGATTTATTTGTCTTACCTTTTCTGGTGGTGCAAAATAAATTACAGGTGTACACCTGTTGAGTTTGTCTCTTTCTTTCATGCAG